ATCAACACACACATTCCCCCAAAGAGTCATTTTCTTGGTTGCTTTCAGCAAGGTTCTTGTGACGGAGGAGGCCAGGATGACATCTGCTGGTTCTTTCGGAACTGTTGATTGCCAAACTTCTGGTCCAGCTGAGGTGGAACCAAAGCAAGAGGCCGGCTCCGAGGGGCAGGCAGTGCCGCTGGGCATTTGAAAATTTCCCTCTGGCCCCGTTGTTCGTCCCATCCTATGGAGAAGCGGCCGGAGTGAGAGGTGGACCGGGGGCGGACCAGGTCTCGCTCCGTGGCTGACAGTTCAACTGTCTTTTGAGCTCTCTTGATGGCACTCTGAAGATGGGGACCAAAGAGAACGTCAGAGGTGATGGGGCCTTCCAGCATTTCTCTGTGCAGGTGTTTGGGCATGGAGGGCAGGCTTGCAGGAGTGGAGGAGTGGTGGTGAGAAGGCAGTGCGGGCAGGCACGCTCACCACAGCCATGGAATACAACTCATCAACACTCACTAACACCATATTGGAGCAGGCGGAGGGAGACTAGGGGTCTTAGCACACCTCTTTTGTCGCTTGGCTTCCTGGGGCTGGAGGCTAGGAGGGAGATCTGGCCGTCCGGTTGGGGTCTGGGGTGGTGGGTTGCTTTGCTCAGCGTTGGACGGGGGAGCCTGCTCATCAGCACCCCACCAGAAAGGGTCGAACTCTGGGAACCGGTAATGGTTGTACCCCATGTACAGCAGTACCGGGACCAGAGGGAATAGGGTGTGTATGGGGAGCGTGAGTGGGTGTCCGGCGTGCATTTTTGTAAGTCTTTGGTTGTATGTGTATGTGTGAGCATGAGGGAGGGAGTGTGACTGTGTTTGTGTATGACTGTATATGTCAGGTGGGGCCTTTGACTCCTCCCTTCTCCTGGGACTTCTTTCAATGATATAGATCTTCGTCTCCCCTCTCCCTGCCACACCTGGTGTGGAGTGCGGCACCTTGGTCTGCCTGGGTCGTGGCTCCCGGGTCACTTTTGATAATGAGAACAAACAGCCTTTTTTACCGCAGTTTTGCTCAAAAACATCAGTTTAGTCCCTGTGATCCACTTGCTGTTCACCTCCTCTCTCCCTCCTCTCCTGTGGGTTGGAACCCGCACCTTCACGCACCGGTGTGACGCCATCAGATTTCTGCTCAGTTCGGTAACCAGACTTGGTTCGTGTTTGAAATTTGTTTCCCTACCACTCCACACGGATGTGGCAAAATAACGTTTAGCACTCACAACAAGCAGATTCTCAGCGCTTTGCTCATAAACAGAAGACCTGCAGGCCTCTGTGAGTTAAATCATCCTGATATTGTTCAATTTTAAACATTGTGCTCCATCCCTGTGTTTGAACTCAGAAGTTGCTTCTTGATGCCACAGATATGTAGCCTAGTGAACTAGACAAAATTCTTGCTTTGCAAAGTTTGGTCTAGACACGCTCCATTGGAACCTCCGCAGCTCCTACCAGGACTCTGGCTAGCCAATCACCACTCTCTAGAGGGGTTTCAAACACATAAAGAGCTGTGATTGGTCCATAATGGTGGGCCAATCATTGTGCTCTATCTGCTTAGTGAACAAATCACAGAGCTTTATCCGCTTTGTGGGCCAATCAGGGCACTCTATATGCCTGGTGGGTGGGATGATGTAACAGAGTGAAACAAGAGTATGTCACATTCATTGTCCAGTAGCATGCGGAGATCATTTGAAAGACAACAATAGAACCCGCCCCACAACTGAGAGCCGTCAATGGAGCGTTGCCAGACTAAATAATACATTTATTTAGTCTGGCTTGGCAGGCTAACAGATATGTGATGATTTAGCTTGTTTCTTTATTTTACTCCAGAATAAGAAATTAAATTATTTCAAAAGCAGATCAATGTAGTTAAATTAGTCATTCAAAAGATTCTAACATGCTGCAGTGTGTGTGTGTGTGTGTGTGTGTGTGTGTGTGTGTGTGTGTGTGTGTGTGTGTGTGTGTGTGTGTGTGTGTGTGTGTTACACATATAGGACTGCATGAGACAGCATGGTTTCATCAAATCCATGCATCTAATTTCTTGGCTGAAGTAATGGCTCAGGAAAATAACTTATATTTCATAAATAATGATGTCTCTACAGTGTTTATGACAACGTTTTATCTTATATTGGACCTATATTTGGTCTGGGAGGTGTAACATATTATGATACAAGCCTTTTAAAACATGTTAAAGTGTTACAAGAGGAGATAAATGCATGAATTTAAAGTTCATGTTTGGAGACCAACCTTCACAGTTTGGAGGCTCCCATTGGTGAGGAGACACCATTAGTTCTAGTAACACAAGGGCTCACAAGGCCTATTCTGACAGGATGGACGTTACGGGACCCTTAAGGATTCCAGTTGGATGATTGGAGGATTATTTAGGAGGATTGGAATGAACAAACTGATTTCAGTGGTGAAGGGTTAAAGGTATTAAGGGTTAAAGGAAATGCAAAATAACTACACTTTACCATCTATATAAACATGTACTGGGTTCAGTTTTTTATTTTGTTAAGGACTTTTGTCATAAATCATTACAGAAAATCCAAATCTTCTCCTCCAGACAGTGAAGAACTGTGTTTCGTGTACGTCACTCCAGCACGTAAAACAAGCTAGCTGCTGATGCTAGTATTGTGAATCACTGTTATTTGTTTACTTTCATGCTCCTGATTATTACATAAAATTGCGTTTACAGCTGCAGCAAAAGGTCTGAGCCATGTGTCTGTGTCCTACACGTATTTTTAAATAACAGGTCTGATCTAAAATAATAAATTACATCTATAAATCCATCTAGAACCGCACAGCTACTTCTGGACTCTAGACGAGTCCCGTTAGCATTAGCGCAGCAAAACTGCTAACCGTGTTAGCTCCGGTAAGGAAAGAACAAGTCCTTTGGGAAAGCTACCACAACACACACACACTCACACAGATATAATCTAAAAGATGATCTCTATATTTCAACATTAGAACCTCCATGACATCCTGGATTAGTGCAAACAACAAATTGAGCTAAGGAGTTACTCCAGCATCAGGAAGATTTATTCTGGTAAATTGTCAGTTAAAGATTTTCTAGAGTTATATCAACAAATACACACAGCAGTAAAACTGTAGATTACTGAACTATTTTGGGACACATGATGGAGCTAAGACCAGCTGAAAACTTGTCAGCTTAGAGCTCCCAGTGAAGCACAGAAATGAAATGTTTAAGAAAAGTAAACAAACTGTACCAATTTTGGTTCTGAAGATGAACAGAATCTTCCTCTATGTCCAAATTGGGTCAAATGGTCCAAAACATGTCTGCACCTCTGGTAGTGATATCCAGCTGGCGGGGTCGGAGTTCGGTTGAACTTCTCCAGTAATCCAATATCCGTTCTCGTCATCGTATCCCAGAGAAAAAACAAATCTGACCGACTAGTAGAGGCTTCAGAAGCTACATCTGACTGATGACACATTGTTCTCTGCTATAACGCTAACGCAGAAACAGCGGAGTCAGATGGTGTTTACTACAGCTGTTTCAGCAGAGCTCCATGTGTAACATTATGGTTTTTAATACTTCTTTTTGATCAAGATGCTTGATCTTATTTGCCCACCATTTGTTTTGTTTTTAATTGATTATTCCGTCATTGCTCATTCTGTTACCTCTTTGTATTTGTAATATTGCTTGCTTGTTATTTTATGATTTAATGTTTTTGTCTTGCTCTTATGCCCAGGTACTGGCAATGTTTTTATGAGGCTGTTCAGCACCTTGGGCTTCTGATAAGGTTGCGGAAGGTGCTCTACAAATAAAACTGATTGATTATTGTCTTCATACTGATAGATTAAATTACTGGAATCAAAAATTAATGATCTGGTATTGTAAGATCTGAAATGAGTCATTGCAGGAAAGATATTCATTTTAACCCACAAGGACACATTAATCAAACACTTTGGATTTAAATAAATTATTCAAAAGAATATGAGGTTTTTAAAAAGTAATTTATGACAAGAAAGATAAGCTTTATTCAGAGAGTAAAAATCTCGTCTTCTGCATGAGACCTTGGTGTTTCAGCGAAAGGGGCTAGGAAATGAACTTATTGTGGCTCAATTATTCGGTAACTATTTGTACTCATATCAGCTATTTAACCATTTAGCTGTCCAGTGTTTTAAACTATGTTCACATATTTAGATTTTCTGCTGCGCAGTGGTTAGAGCTGTTGCCTTGCAGCGAGAAGGTCCTGGGTTCGATTCCCGGCCTAGGCTCTTTCTGCATGGAGTTTGCATGTTCTCCCTGTGCATGCGTGGGTTCTCTCCGGGTACTCCGGCTTCCTCCCACCGTCCAAAAACATGACTGTTAGGTTAATTGGTCTGTCTAAATTCTCCTTAGCTGTGAGTGTGTGTGTGCATGATTGTTTGTCCTGTGTGTCTCTGTGCCCTGCGATGGACTGGCTCTCAGTCCAGTGTGTACCCCACCTAATTGCCCATTGACTGCTGGAGATAGGCACCAGCGCCCCCCCCCCCCCCCCCCCCGCACGCACACACACACACACACCCCACCCCACCCCAAAAGCTGGTTCAGAAGATGGATGGATGGATGGATGATGGATGGATGGATGGATGGATGGATGGATGGATAATTGTTAAATTCATTTACAACTCAGCTGAAAATTTCTTGATTTTTTTAATGTGCCTTTTACAAAAGAATGCATGAAAAAAATCTGCAATTTTCTATCTGCAAGAACAAATGTTTATTGATCAAGCTTTCAGTCAGAGACCTTCATCAGGAGTGACTCTGACCAAAGCTTGATCAATAAATATTTACACTTGCAGATAGAAGTGTGTGGAGTTTTCCCCCTAAATGAACTCAACGCTTTATCCAGCACCTTCATACAGATGAGCGGTGTTTTTTTTTTCTCTTTTTGTAAATCAGTCAAGTAAAGAAATCGTGCCTTAAAACAAATCTGTTAATTTGTTGTTATTGTTTTCTCCACACAGATCCCGTAATGAGATCCATGGTGGATAGAGAACTCTTTAAATAGTTGGTCTCCAGTCTTCAGCTGAACACACCACACTCACTAAACAAATGTAGGTATCTGGAGTCCTTGTGTACGCTCCTGGTAAACTATCTGCTGGTTATATTAAGTTAAAATTACCTGTTCTTTAGAATTCTGAGATGAATGTAACATACATTACTCTTGATGGTCATGTGGAGGTGGAAAAATACCGGTTCCTTTATTTTGTCATCATGCTTATAGCATATATTTTAATTTTGTGCAGCAATTTTACCATTGTTTATCTCATTGTGGTTCACAAAAACCTTCACGAGCCGATGTATGTATTTATTGCTGCTCTGTTGATCAACTCTATTCTTTTCAGCACGGTGGTCTATCCAAAACTCTTGATTGACTTTTTATCTGAAAAACAGATCATATCTTATCAAGCCTGTCTCTTTCAGGTTTATGTTTTTTACTCTATAAGTGGTTCAGAGTTCTTGCTGTTGGCAGCCATGGCCTATGACAGATATGTGTCCATATGTAAACCTCTGCATTATCCAACAATCATGAGAAAAACCACTGTGATCATTTTGCTGGTTTTATCCTGGCTTTTACCTTTTTGTCATTTGGCTGTACCAGTCATAGGAAATGCTCAAACCCAGCTGTGTAGCTTTACTTTGAAAGGTATATTCTGCAACAATTCAATTAACCACCTTTTATGTGTGACTTCCAGAGCACTGTTAATATTTGGTTTAGTTAATATGTTCAATCTTGGCTTGCTTCCTTTGCTTTTTATACTCTTTACATACACAATGATATTCATAACAACTTATAAAAGTTGTGGACAAGTCAGGAAGAAGGTTGCTAACACCTGTTTACCTCACCTGCTGGTCTTAATAAATTATTATTGCATGCTTACTTTTGACATTATTATAGTTAGACTGGATTCTGATATTGAAAAGACTACACATTTTGTTATGACAATACAAATGATTATATACAATCCTCTTAGCAATCCAATCATATATGGAATTAAAATGAAAGAGATCTATAAACACCTCAAAAGACTGCTCGGTTAAGCCAAGGTAGAGTAATGTAGTTAAATGGTCACTATTTATATACAGATTTTAAAATGTGTCTCGATTTTTAAACTATTACATACTTTTTATTTAATGGCTATGTTCAGATCCTCATAAAGTCCACCATGAGCTCTGTAATGCACAACAATATGTTTCATTTGTGTGTTTTTCTTATTAACCCTTTGATGCATAATGGTCACTACAGTGGACAGGTACTCAAAATTGTTATTTATTTGTTTTTGCTATTAAGCACAGCTGTTGAAGACTTTATTGCATTTGAGCCCCTCCATTTGGACTTCAGTAAGCCAAGCCAACATATTTCATGTTCAGAATGCTCGCTGTCCACTGAGGTGGACATGTAATAAATTATTTGTAAATTATAAAATTTTACAAAAAAATATTTGTTGAAATTTGTTTCATTCACACCTAAAGATGAATGAATTTTTTTTAAATCATGGTTGAAGATTTCATAATTCATGCATCAAAGGGTTAAGATTAAAAATGTAAATAAATGGCATTCTAAAACACAGTGTAACCATTATTTTTCAGTTGGGAGGGGGAAATGTAGGGGCAAATGTAAATGTTAAAGGCATTCAGCAGATGTATGTAGCCTGCTTAGACAAAGTTTGAGGTGATTTAGATCACGAGTGTCAAAAACAGTCCCTCGTGCCAAATCTTTATATTTATATTTGGCCTGCTGATCATGTATCAGATATGTATTAGTATGAGTCTGTGGCTGCTGCACAGTTCTTTTTTTTCCCTCCCTAACACACTGACACGACTCCATGCTCAAGCTGCTCAAACGGTAGGTAGGTAACAAATTATCACCACACCACATATTCAACTATAAATTTCAGATTTTAAGTGCAATAACATCATCAAGGGAATATTTTGTCTGAACATACACACTGCTTTTGAAACTGACAGGATAATCTGTAGTCAAACAAAAATTTAAGATAATTTAAATAGAATTACAAACACCACCAAGAGTATTAGCATTCTATAATCTCAAACACCCCAAACTACTGTCTAAAGCACATATGTCAGACTCAAGGCCCGCGGGCCAGATGCGGCCCGCAGAGTATTTTTATGTGGCCCGCAAGATAAATATCAAAAATATATTAAAACTGGCCCGCTGGCCGATTTTACCGCAAAGACTACCACTCCCATGATGCTTTGCGGCGTCAGCGCGGAACCGACACACCCCCTCCTTTGTGTTTTTTCCAGCGCCTGCTGCCCCGCTGTCTCGGACAAACTAAACACTCCTCTCACTCAGCACCGAGTTCACTCAGCTATTTTCTGACGTTGAAGCCCAGAAACGGAGATTCTAGCCGCTCAGTAATGTGTTCACGACTGAAAGAGAAAGTTTTCCAACTATTGTCCAGACAGAGCTGATATAACTCCAGCGAACAGTGAAACGCTCAAACCAGCACGGCTCTGTGGTTGCTGTTGTTGTGTTTCCTCCCCGACACACAACAACGTGGTCAAGCTGCTCAGACATGTTCAGCAGCACAAACCTATGTGAGCACCTGTTGTCATCTAATGTTGTCATTATTATGATGAAGATGAACAAAACAACAGGAGTCTCCTCCTCATCTCAGGTCAGCCCCATGATGCAGGTATCTGGCTGGAACAGGTGAGCATCACAGTAAACCAGTGGAGCAAACTGAGCTTTAAATATGGTTGTTTTATGCTCTTTTTTCTGCTCCAAAACATGAAAGTTAACAGGTGAGATATTGCATTTTCATTTAAGATAAAATGATATATTTTGTTGTTGGCCCGTGAGAAAAGATTTAACCTACAGTAAACAGGAAGTGGAAAGGCTGCAGAGAGATGAATAGAATAGAAAATCCCTTTATTGTTCCTCAGTGGGGAAAGCTAGACGTCACAGCAGCGATGACACTTATTACAGGAGAAAAAAAGGAGAATAAAAAATAAGAAAACTGAATAAACTAGAAAACATAAATCCTGAATAGATTTTAAAAATGCTGATTATACCACAAGTAATGAATACCACTGCCTTTTATTTAAAACTGACTTGCTCGTGTGTCATTTGGTTATTCCACATTCAGTGTTAATGCAGAAATAAGTTTGTTTCCAAATTTAAAGGTTCAAAATTGCATATATGTTGATAAAGAAAATGTGCATATTTGCCGTCACTTTTTCAAAAAATATTAAGTTTGGCCCTCGACTCCGTCCCAGAGTTTCATTTCGGCCCCGTGTGAGTTTGAGTTTGACACCCCTGGTCTAAAGTATATAAGACACTGTCCAAAATAGATGATAGAATAGCAATCCCTATTGAAAAATGGGAGGTGGATCTTTCAGACTTACCATTTATTAGCTCAAGCATAAGAAAACATGAAGGCTTCAAAAGTATTAGTATCAGCACCTCTCTGACAGCATGGTGGGCGTATCTAAAAATGACAGTCTTCACTAGTACCATGCAGACGCACACCTATCTGGAATAATCCTGATATTTTGCAAAATAATAAAATGATGAACCTTCCGGACTGGAAAAATAAAGGAATCCTATACCTGGAACACATATATGAAGGATCGGACTTCATCCCATTTAATAGAATAGTCTCCCAATATGGAATAGATAAGAATAGCTTTTTAGAATACCACCAAATTAAATCTGTAGTAAAACAAAAATTTAAGCTCAATAAAATAGAATTGCAAACACCACCAAGGGTATTAGACTTCTATAATCTCAAACCCCCCAAACTACTGTCTAAAGTATATAAGACACTGTCCAAAATAGACGATAGAATAGTAATCCCTATTGAAAAATGGGAGGTGGATCTATCAGTCAGCTTTGACCAGAACTTCTGGTCCCAAACTTGTTTAAAAACTTTTAAAATGATCAGACACCCCAATTTACAATTAATTCAGTATAAAATTCTACACAGAGTACACTATACAGGTCACTGGATGTTCAAGATAGGTTTTGTGTCATCTGACACCTGTACACACTGCACAAAGAACATTCCTGACAATTACATGCATGCACTGTGGTCCTGTCCACCTGTCCAGGAATTTTGGGGTAGGGTATGTGAAGACCTGTCAAAGTGTCTGAAATGTCATATCCCAACTCCCCCCTCTCTTTGTTTACTGGGAAACCTGGACGATGTCCCGATTGAAACATCTTTAGTTCGCGTGGTTCTGACTGCCATATACATCGCTAAGAAAACTATCCTCATGAATTGGAAAAATAGAGATACTCTTTGCATTAGCCAGTATAGAAATATTTTGTTAGATCATATTACACTTGATACAGCCTCTGCTTCCACTTCAAATAAATCTCTCTGGGCTCCTTTGATCGGTTCCATCACATAGCGATGATGGGGGACCATTGATATTGCCCTGCGGGATGATGTGGGTGATGGGGTGGAGGGTCTGAGTTTGGAGTATCCGGATGTTCCTTGGAGGTGGGTTCACTGGGGCGTCTAGGACTGGGGGGCTGCTGCCCCCCTCTGGAAGTGCTTGGGTTGCCTCGGAGGGTGGACTACTGGCGGTTGTGAGTGGGGCCCCTTTGGGGGTCTTGGCAATGGCCATGGGTCGCTGCCTGGCAGCTGCATTGCCCCTGAGCGGGTCTGGGTGGGGGCCTAGGGGCTCGGGGTGTGGGGGTGGCCGGCCCCGTGTGGAGATCTGGGCGGGGCCTAGGGGGTCGAGTCCTGACATGTATGCTGCCGGGAAGAAGGCTGGAACTTGCAGAAGTGACTGGCCCAGGCTCAGGGGCCTCGGGTAGTCCTTGGCTCCTCTGCTGTTCCATCACAGGGGAGGGGGATGTCCAGGAGGGGGAGGACCCAACCTTACCTGGATGTCCTATGTCTTATATATACTGGAAGTTGTGCAAATGCTGGGATGGGAGTACATATTCTGCTGGGGAGGGGCTGGGTTGGTGCCCTCAGACGCCGTAAGGCTCTGTGATGCTGCTGCTTTGGGCCCTGGCAAGATGGGCTGGGGTCTCCATGCCCTGGGTGGCATTTTGAAAATAGAGGTGCCTATTGGGGCCAGTGGGGGAGCTGGCTTCCTGGAGGGCTTAAGCCCAACCAGCCATTCCTCCCCATCCCCACACATTTTTCTCCTCCTGCTCCCTCACATCATCACACAATCATGCAAATAGGACCTTGGGGGGTGGACAAGTTAGGGGGTGCGGGTATGGACCCCATTTCCGCAGTCCTGTGGCAACCTGCCCCCCAATTTTATTCGTAACTTAAACACTTCCACCAATGACATTCCACGCAAACACACACTTAGGGCCTTGGGAGTGAGCACATTCAACAGCATTTGGCAGGGGGATTGACAACAGACAGCAGAAAATGACAAAAGGTATGCATACCTACCTCTCACTTGTTTCTCCTAAAACTGCCCACAGTTTTCCACCACAGGCTAGCCCCCAAAATTCCAGCAAGGAGAAGCCCATGCAGCTTGGTAGGACCAAACTCACACCAGAGGAGAGGCAACATAGGAGGAGGTTTGGCTTTTGTTTATTCTGTGGTCAGACTGGTCACTTGGTATCAAACTGTCCCCACCAGCCAAAAGAGGGGGCCCACCTGTAGCTCTGGGAATACTGGTGGGTAGTTCCAGTGATAATAGTTCCCGGTGCACCATCCCCATCACTCTCTTTTTCTCAGCAGTCTATTACCACCCATGCACTGATCGACTCAGATTGTGAACGTAACCTGATGGACCCAGCTTTTGTGGAGAGCCTCCAGATCCCTCTTGAGCGTCTCGCCTCTCCACTGAGTCTCCTCCCTTGATGGTCGGCCCCTTCCCTCCATAACCCAATGGACTGTCCTCCTCCACCTCAAGGTGTCAGAACCACCATGAACATACAACTTTCTTTGTTTTTCCCTCTCCTCAGTCCCTTGTCGTCATCAGTCACGCATGGTTTAAACACCACAACCCCCACATTAACTGGAGGACCAGCAGTGTCGAGACTTAAGGTTAGTTTATGCTTGACGCGTCCACGAGGTCCGCACGGCTCCGCGCAGC